TGACAGTATATAAGTACTACTTGCACTTACCTGTGACAGTATGTAAGTACCACTTGCACCTACCTATGACAACCATCTGGCGCGTGGAGAATTCACAGTCGCCGTCGATGCCACAGTAATGGCTCAGGCACATTCTCGAGCTGTGGCAAGAGTATGCACACAGAGAGAAAGAGTTCAAGTTTAGTTTATGATAAAAGGGGCAGAAACGGTGACTGATGACAGTAATAGTTGGCCATGGAGTGTCCCTGAGTTAACATTGTTTGTGTACTGCTGAGTGCTGTGTGTGCTGTGTCAATGTAAGTCGTCAGGATGCAACAAGACAAACACGTATCATTCACAGTTTTATTTCTATAGAGCCAATTACACTCCTTGCTAAGCCTACGTACGTTCCTACTTGATACACCCGGCTAGACATGGATATGAACAAATTACTTCCTATTAATACCATGGACTCCCACACGTATGGACGAAACACTCGCGCGCAAGCCACACTCAGCCGCACCTGGTACACTTGTGTCCCAGTCCCAGACGCAGCCCACAAATGCCCTGCACAGGCACATCCACGCCCACATGCATGGTGGCCACCGGTTTAGCCTCACTATTTGCATTTTTGCCCTTCTCCTCCTTGGCGGAGCCTTCCAATATTCGACAGTACAGTTCAGGTAGCTGGTCAGGGTTTTAGGGTTTAAAGAAGGTACAATGGGGGGGGGGGGGTTGGCAATTTAACGGTGAGAATAGTGCCTGACTGGACATCCAATAAGTGATCGGATACACTGAAAGCACCTGAAGTGTGGTTCAAGGCTATGAGTCGCCACTTCCATCCTTTCATGGTTGTTACGTACTACCAGATGGCGCACGTGGTCGAGTTTAGCAATCACAGCTGAGGTGGGCGTTAGGCTGTGGCGTCTATAGTACTGTACTGTGCCACCAGAAGTATAAATAAAAATGGTAGCGAATAATGTAGCACTGAACAATTGCAAGCTAGCATGCACTCATCACAGCTATCCTGACCCTACTTGCAACAGCAGATACGTGTCTTGTGATATGGTCCCATGTAACCAAGCATATATTGATATTCAACTCACCATGTCAATTAACCCAGGTTCATATACGAAACAAAGTGCAACTAGGGAGCAATATAAATAAGCACATCCAAACGTGTGGTTAAATACTCATAAGATTTTTTTTATTTGGAGGGGTCGAACAAATAACCGTAACTACACTTGGAAATAAACATGAATGCAAATATGGAAATGAGCAATGTAACTTTTGGACATATATAAACGTATCACATGCGCATGAAAGGACACAATCTCGAAGCGCAATGTTATCCGCACTAAAACATATATAATCGCAAACACGAACATACATACATATATATATATATATATAATAT